TACTAATTATATTTTAGATTTTTTATATTTAAAATGAGATGTTTATCCTGTATTTGATTGTGTTTATCTGCAGTTAGTTTCACGAATTTAGATATAGGATGAAATCGGATAAGGATGAAATCGTTTAGGAATGAAAGGGTTTAAGAGTTTTTAAAAGTTTTTAAGAGTTTTAAGAGTTTTTAAGAGTTTTAGCCAAATGCTTTATAATATAGTATAGATTTTAGCCATATTATAATCATATGGTACCACCATTACTTCTCGTATATTATAACAATTAATTGAAAATAATTAAAATATTAAATAATTTTTTATTTGTTTCAAAAAATAAAATATGTTTGTAATTGCATGTCGTTTGTTTTGTTGGCGGCTTGATATTTCAAAGTCATAAAAAATGGGTCCTATGAAGACAAATAGATAAAGAATGCATAGTAAGGGTGACCCATTGAATATTGTCAAAAGTGATGTGCAGCCCTTGCCAACTTTTATGAAATAAACAAAGCTCAGTGGTATTAATGAAAATAAACAAAGTTCAGGGGTGTGAATGAAAATATTTCGGCAGTTACTGTTGGACTCAACGTCTATATAAACTAACCAATGGACCATTTCAAACTCATTCCACACCTACTCTCGTCATCCAAATCATAAATATGATGAAATCTCTCGTCTCGATTCTCACATTATGTTTTCTTGGTATCGTTGGCACTGAAGCTGCAGGACGAAATCTAAAAGATGTCATCTCGCTTCCTAGCCAACGGTTCCAACAACCGTATCGAACTGGGTACCATTTCCAACCACCAAGCAATTGGATGAACGGTACGTGCATTTGTTTTCACGTCAAGAATTTATCCTCACATGTTTTCTGATATATTGGTTTTTTAAAACCATCGTATTCGTTTATTTGTGTTATGTTCTCGAAACTTTTTTTATGAGGGAAAGGCAAGAGGGACAGGACTCCCGTGTTCTTGAAAAAGGAAGATAATGATAAGATTTCTCTCAAATATGAGAGGAAGGGAAAAAAAAGAAAAATAATATTTCGTTCTAATGGATATATTTCGAGAAGATATATTTTTAAAAATGATTTTTTTTTCTTTTTCGTTTGTTCAAGAAAACGAAAAATTATTTCCTTTCCATTCGTCCATTTTCAAGAACACAAATTCGAGAACATAGCGTTAATGCAAACCAACCCTTTTCACGATCATGGAAAACGAGAATATGGTGTACGTGATCTATTCTCGTTTTTTGCTATAAAACGAATACGATGTTCCAAAATTGTTATTATTTATTTCTCATTATGATTTATATAAGGTAGCTGATTTATTTTTCATATGGGTTCCGTTGACGTGAAACCAAATTGGATCCAACGGTTGGTGATTGAATTTCCACAGATCCCAATGGTGAGTTTCCGTTTCTTTAATGTTTTATTCTTTTAGCATCCAATTCGATTGCTGGATTTTAAAGCAATTTCTTTAATAAAAAACATTACTAAAATCGATATAAAAAAGGTAGCTTCGTAAAATACAAGGAAAAATGACACCAAAATCCTAAATATTAAAATAATTATATATTTAAAATAAAATATTGGAAAACAAAATAAAGAAAAGGACCCCACAAGGACTATGTACGCAAGAATGGTGGAAAACCCCATTCCCCACCGCCCACCCCCACTTTTGATCTGGATGGGTATGGGATATATGCACCACATTTTTTTTGCTTTTTCCTTTATTAGCCTTTTTATTCCTTTCTTGTTTGATTAAAAATAATTAAATATTAAATTATACAAATGTTTAAGAGCTCATGCACAATTCTTATTCAGTTAATCAAAGAATATAAATAAGTATACCATTTTAAAAGCACGTGTTTTTTAATTATAAATGAGGATAACGTTTTAGATAAAGGGTATGATTGTAATTTTGAAAAATTGCAGGACCAATGTTATACGAAGGAGTGTACCATTTTTTCTACCAATACAACCCGTACGCGGCAACTTTTGGTGACCTCATCCTGTGGGGCCATGCCGTATCATACGACCTGGTCAACTGGATCCATCTTGACCCGGCAATATACCCGACCCATGAAGCAGACAGCAAAAGTTGCTGGTCCGGATCGGCCACCATCCTGCCGGGAAACATTCCGATGATGTTGTACACCGGAAGTGATTCACAGTCCCGGCAAGTTCAAGATCTCGCTTGGCCAAAAAACCTCTCCGATCCGTTCTTAAGAGAATGGGTCAAATACGAAAACAACCCGATCATAACCCCGCCGGAGGGCGTCAAGGACGACTGTTTCCGGGACCCCAGCACCGCCTGGAAAGGTCCCGACGGCGTGTGGCGGATGGTCGTCGGCGCCGACAGAGACAACGACGGCATGGCGTTTTTGTACCAGAGTACGGATTTCAAGAACTGGAAGCGACACGAACAGCCTCTTTCGTCGGCGGAAGATACCGGAACTTGGGAGTGCCCGGACTTTTATCCGGTGCCGTTGAACAGCACCAACGGGCTCGATACGTCGACGTATAGCGGCAGTGTGATGCATGTGATGAAGGCTGGATTTGAAGGGCATGATTGGTATACGATTGGGACTTACAGTCCAGTTAGTGAGAATTTTTTGCCCCAGAATGGGTTACGATTATCAGGAAGCAAATTGGATTTGAGGTACGATTATGGCAATTTTTATGCATCCAAATCGTTCTTCGATGATTCCAAGAACAGAAGGGTTTTATGGGGTTGGATCCCTGAATCCGATTCTCAAGAAGACGACATCGAAAAAGGATGGGCCGGCCTTCAGGTATGATTTCCCCCTTTGTTTTCCGGCGGCCGGAAAATGCATAAAACCGATATCGATCATCTAAGAATTCAAACTGTTTTTTGCAGTCGTTTCCAAGGGCAGTTTGGATAGACAGAAGTGGGAAGCAGCTAATCCAATGGCCGGTGGAGGAGATTGAAACCCTTCGTGAGAATGAAGTTAAACTTGAAAACAAAAAGCTCGACTCTGCTTGCCCTGTTTATGAAATCCAGGGGATTACTGCTTCGCAGGTTTGTACTCTATGCATTCAATATAAACTATATATTAAAATAGTAAAACAATTTATTTTATTTATTAAAAAAACATTATTCTATTTTAAGTATTTGGTTTTCAAAGAATAAAAATATTCATTAAAATCTCTCTAATCCTCGTTTCTCGATGTTAAAGATGAAGTAGTTTTTATGGTATTAAAGTTTGACATTTCCATTTTCAGGCGGATGTTACGGTTTCTTTCAAATTAGAAGGTTTGACCATCGCAGACACAGAGGATTTGGATACGACTTCGGTCGATCCACAAGCACTCTGTACCGAAAGAGGTGCTTCGAGCAAAGGTGCATTCGGGCCTTTTGGCTTGTTGGCTATGGCTTCTAAAGATCGCAAAGAGCAAACCGCAATCTTCTTCAGGGTGTTTTATGACCAAAAGATTAAACGATACGCGGTACTCATGTGTAGTGATCTTAGCAGGTTTGTTATTCATCCAATTAGCAAGTTTGTCATAGGAATAAGGGTCTAGTTTTCAATAACTAATCTTTTTGTGTGTTTAAAGGTCTACGATCAGGAGCAATATTGACACAACAAGTTATGGTGCGTTTGTTGACATAGATCTTCAAAACAACAATGAGATCTCGCTCAGAAACTTGGTAAGTAAATGTTACTGTTGATAACTTGTCAATAAAGCATGACTCTACATTTTATTGTTACAGGTATAAGGTTTATGATGTATTAACGACCTCTATGTATGTCGTTGACTTTTAATCTTTGTCGGTATACTTTACCAACCAAGTCCTTTCCGACAAAAACCTTAGGTCAAAAGCCTTTAGTAATAGGCCCCACTGTCGGTGAAACACTAGTTTCTTATAATCGTTATAAATATCCATACCGAATAGTACATCTCTTTAAACATAATTTTGGTTTTTATGCATCTTTTATTTTTCTCGCTTCATGTTTTCATGTAATTTCAATTTGCTAGTTTCGTTACTACCTTCGAAGTTGTCATCTTTACGTTTTGACCCTTGTTTCTGGAATATTTATAGATTGACCGCTCAATTATTGAGAGCTTTGGGGCAGAAGGAAAGACATGTATTACAAGTCGGGTTTATCCGAAATTTGCTTACAATGAAGACGCTCATCTTTTCGCTTTTAACAACGGGACTCGAAGCGTCACAATTTCAAAAATGAGTGCTTGGAGTATGAAGGATGCCGAATTTGTGATAGATCAGACCGAAAAAAGTGCAGTCTAAGAAGATAGATACGTTGAAAACCATTAGAATATTCTTGTGGAAAATATATAGTAAAAGAAACATTGGAGGCCAAGAAGAGTGGGTTTAATAGCTCTTTGTGAAGGTCATTCTTTGTCGCTATATTGCTTGTAAAAAATTTTGAAGATTGTTGGCAGTTTTTTTCATTTATAAATTATTAAGATGTAACAGTTTGTGCAAAGCACAGGATGGCATTGTAACAAATTATCGTTTCATTAATATAATTGCGCTATTTGAGTAATTCTTTCGTTTTTATTCGAGTCTTTAAACCATATGATTATGGGTTCCAAAGCTAGATGTTATATGTTTTTTAATAAAATAGCTGATAAATTAGTTGTAGGGCAGACACATGTCCATAGTCCAAAAAGATAGAGGACCAAATTATTTTAGTATACAACAGTAGTCCAAAAAATTTAGTAGATAAAATAGACCCAAAAAATTTCGCCTATAGTAAGAGCCCAAAATAATTAGTAGATAACAAGAGACCAAAAATGTATTCACCGTCTACATCGGAGAAGAAATCCGTAAAAAGATAAATTGCCCTTTGCGTTCGCTTTTTTTTTTGCTTCTCAAAGTTTTTATATGGTGCCAATGTCTAAGGCTATTCGCTATAGCTCATGCTTCAACAATTCGATGGACAACTACTTTAAGTTTTAAAGTCATGAGCTTGTTATTGCTATTGATATCTGCTTCTGTTAGCTATTGTTGGTCCCAAACTGATCTACAATAGTTTATAGGTAACACTTTGTAGAAAGGGAGGATGAGTACAAACACACAATTTTTAATTTTTAAAATTCTTTTATTAAAAAGAGAAGATCAATATATAATTTAAAGATTGTTGCAGAAGAAGATAAGATTAAGAACTTATCTAAACAATATAGGAAGCACACAAGTTATACAGAAGAGCAAGAGAGAAAGTGTTTGCTTAAAAAAGAGCTTGAGAAAGCTTGTGTATGCTTGTCTTAGCTTAAGTGTGCTTTTCTTCGCTTGAGTGAGCTTAGCTTCGCTTATGGAGAAGAGAGTCTCCTTAGCTATTTATATCCATTACAATTAATACAAGTCAGAGAGTACAAAGCACGTGGTAAACTTCTAAAGGAGAGTTTGTCGTTTGTCTTCAGATATACAGGTTTTTGACCGTATATGAACAGTAGCCTTTCACAAAATAGGTAAGTACGCTTGGAGATAACAGAGTAACTCCGTACATATGCTTTACTGTGTTAGGTAAGGAGTTGTCCTTTGCGTGCAAAAAGATAAGACAAAAACTAATCTTGTAGAGCAAGATGCATTTTGTAACACCCCACATTCTACATTTTCATATAATCATGTATTTCATATATCATAAAATACAAATAGTACATCTTTGATCCCAACAGTACAAAAAGCTATATTACAAAATTTACAACCAAAAATTTCCAAAAATAACGTTCTTGTACATAACTGGTATAGAAACCAGTATTCCCAAAAATTCAACAAATAACATACGATCTTCAAAAAATCAAGTAAGGACAACGAAAAATTCATATTTTCCTCCTTTTCCTTATCCCTGAACATAGCCTGACCTGCAATGCACATTTTTAAACACAAAATGAGGGTTAGACATTGAGGTGTAGTGAAAATTCCCTTTCTTTGCAATTACAGGGTGAAAATCACCAAAACCTGTTATAAAATCATATTTGAAATTTCACGAACATACAACAACTTTTGTGAAATATAACTCAAATATTACAACAAATAAGAGTCATAAATGTTTCTTACCACACAGGAATACAACCACTCAAGTTCTCATTAACATTCGGTACATAATTCCCAAAGCTCTTAAAAGTCATAAAGATTAGAGCTTATAATCTCAACTTTCAAAATCATATAAAGAACTACCATCAACTAGAGCTATTGGTTATTAACTAAAGCTTTTTAAAATAAGAACTGTTTTGAACTCAAAAGAAGATTGAATTTAATAATAACCAAATACCCTTTGGGTTTTATTTCAAATATTTACTCTTTTGAACAGTCAAAATGTAATATCTGATATCCCAAAAGCATTTGTTATTCGAAACAGGGGCAATTAATTCTTCTGGCTATAAGCCATTTCCCACTTCTCAATAACATCATTGTTATCATTTCAATAAGAGCAATAACTCCAAGTTTTCATATCACAAAAAAAATGTTAACTTTGAATTATCGCATCTTATGGATGTGACGACGAGAGTTATAATTGTAACACATATCTCACAATTGCCACTCTTATCCCAAAGTACACATCTCTTTGATATGCCACACTTATCCCAAAGTACATGTAATAGTCTGGTTATTATTTTAGTTATATATATATATGTTATGTATATATGTTTTGATATGTGTGTGTATATTATTTTAAATAAAGAAAAGAGGGGGAGTCCCTCACTTCCCCTTGTGGTTGTGTATATATATATATATAGTTGTTGTGAAGAAAAACACATACATACACCTTCTATATTTGGAAAGTTGCTCTGGAGAGTTTTAAAGATTTGCACAGGAAGAAGAAGAAGGTCTCAAAAGGTTTTGATTCTCATTTCAAAAAGGTGAGTGTTTAGAGCTTTGAATATGTATTGYTTATATATGATTTGATAAGCATTTTAGAACTGGTTRTTGTGGATTCAATTRCATTTTATGTTGATTCTTGAATAATCCGGCCAAGTGKTATCCGSATTGAAATCCGGATAYTTAAACCRTCCATGCTGTCCGTATATTGTTTAAACCRGACAAGAGGTGAYCGGATAACTTATAAACCGGCCAAGAGGTGACCGGATATTGTTTAAACCGGACAAGTGGTGACCGGATAATATATAAACCGGCCAAGTGGTGACCRTATATGTTTGGATATGTGTGTGTATATTATTTTGAACCGGATAATGTGTAAACCGTTCAAATGATTCAAGTGATGTACTGACCGGATTATTTTAAAYCGGTCAAGGGTTAGTCTATGTATTGTCCGATTTATTTTAAACCGGATAACAAAGAAAGTAAAGTGTTGTCCGGATTTCTAATCCGGACAAAGGAGTTGGTTTATGTTTAAAGTATATTGACCGAATATCTAATCCGGACAAGTCTGACCGGACTTCAAATCCGGATGAAAGGAAAAATGTTTTTGGAAGATGTTTATGAAATATAATGGCAGTGTAACTGCGAGTGAGATGGCGGTGTAACTGCGAGTGAGATGGCGGTGTAACCGCGAGAGTGATATAATGGCAGT